ACTGATAAGTTTGTCCATTTTAGGATAAAGATGTCCCTGAAAAATGAGGCACCCAGTCATCAGAACTACATTTATACAAACTGACCTTGAGGCCCAGCTTCATGCTTCCAACCCAGTTGGATTCCTTGGCCAGAGGCCCAATTGTCACTATCATTTTATGCTCCACCCTGGACCTCTGTGACCCCGCTTTATCCAGAACTTGCCATCCGCAACTCAAGCATCTCTCTCAAGCTGCACGGTCAGCCTTTCTAACATAAGGCACTTTCCTCAGTCTCTCCAGTGCCAGCCCTGCCTGCTCTCAGATCCTCACAGGTCTGCTCCACTTTTCTCTTTCTCCCCTTTCTTTCACGTATCTCACCATGCGCCCGTCCCAAGGTCAAGATGTAGCCTAATGAAAACAATGCAACTGTAATGGCGGCTGTTTCATGTGCTTTAATTGAGTTTTGAACCCTGTGGCACTTGTCCAGTGAACTACATCCCCAGTTCTTTCTTTCATTTTGTTTTGGTTTTTTGTTTTGTTTTTGAGATGATGTCTTTCTTAGTTGCTGATCCTTCTGCCTTGGCCTCCCTAGTCACTGGGATTATAGGCACCTGGCCCAGTAGGACACTTTAAAGCTTTGTTCCATCTTTTGTAATAGATAAATTTTTGGTACACTTCTTTCTCCCTGGGGTAATAATAAAAGCTGTGCCATCGCAGTCAGTCTTGACTTTGGAATGTGGCTGGACTGTACTCCTCTCCTAAGCATCACAACTTCAGTTTGATCACCTGCTTTTATTAGGGAGTGAGTTAAAGGTGAGAGAAATGGCCTTCATTTCAGACAGACGCCTTCTGTTGTGTAACCATGATATCCACAAGCTTTTACTGTGAGCTTGGGATGACATTTAATGTTATTTTATTAAGGACCATCACTTCACCCAAACTTACTTGTGTTCTGAGTGGAACATGGTGTAAAGCCAGGGACTGTCATGGCAGCTGTTTCATGTGCTCTGTGTTCTCGGGAACAAGACTGGAACCACATAATAACCAGGTCTTTGTGGTCTAAGTAATGAGAAGGAATGAAAGACCGCCTAAGTCATTGCATCAGTTTCTCTCCCACCTGCTCTTCTTCCCTCTATATAAAAAAAACTGCTGTGTAACTTGGCACAGCACAAGAAGCTTCACTGGGGATTGTCACCCTTTTGAAAGCATACATCTTTTTACCTGTTGGTTTCCCTTGACCTGAATAAAAAAAAAATTGGTCACAGGAGTGCCTTTTATATTAGCAATTCTTTGAGCTTCCGTGTTTCTTCCTGTTAATACAGAAAGCTAAAGGGACACAGTGATCTTGTGGTAGAATCATTTCAGTGCATCTGTTAATTCTGATGCCCAGTGATAGAGTCCACATAAAATGTCTTTTTATGCAGACACATAATCTATCCCATGGACACTCCTTTAGGAGCTGTGTCCACTCTGTTTTAGGCTAACCTTGATGGGGATAGCGCTAGACAAAGTGGAAATCGTGGGTCCCTCTTTGCTTGAGCTGCTGCCAATCAGGCTTTGATGCCTTGGAACGCTTTAGGGATTTAGACTAAATTACCTAAGCCTTCTTAATTACAGTGTGGCTTCTCTGTCATTTTGAGTATTTTCCCTACCTTTGAGTTCAAGGGCCACCATTGAAGCCTGATGGGGAGGTCCTAGGTGGGTGGAGTCCCCACAAATACATTGCTAAAGAAACCAGAGGCTCAGAAGTTGTACTGAGGCCAAGAGACGCAGAATCTCAGTAACACCGATCTTTCCTCTCCAGGGCTTCATGACTCAGAACACCGCAAAGCAGAATGAACATTGTCTTAAGAACTTTGACCTCACTGAATACCGTCAAGTGCTGAGCGACCTTTCCATTCAGATCTACCAGCAGCTCATTAAAATCGCTGAGGGCTTGTTGCAGCCAATGATAGGTAAGTTAGCACAGGAGGGCTCTAGCCCTCATTCCGGGCTCTGGAAGTCTCCCATCTTCAGGGAGCCCGATGTATTAGCCAGGGCCTTCCCAGAGAAGGCCTACGGAGCTGTGCACATTGTGCCTGAGACCTGTGAAATTTTCAATGCCATCTCACCCAAATATGCTAGCTTAATGGAATGATTTTTTTCCTCTCCTGTAGTATGTTGTATTATTTTTCCTCAAGAAATTTCAATAGGTAATAAATATGAACTCAAAGGCATAAATGCACATACAGTAAAATAGTATCCTCTTATCCATTTTGTATTTTTCATGAAAAAAGGAAAGCCTTGTGTGTGTTCATAGGCAAGAACACAGCAGTTAAACCTCAGGCAACAATATTTGCTGAACACTCACTTTGTTCAAAGCAGTGAGTGTACTTGGCACTGAACATGAAATCAGAATTGGAAAAATAAGAGCAGCTATGTTTTAGGTTAAAAGAAAGGAAACCCATGTACAGCACTCACTGCTGCATGAAGGCTGGGGAGGAACGCGAACCTGGGCAGGTGTGTAATACTTTCTCCAGGTTCTTATAACACTAGTAGGTTTGGGGTGAATTCCAAGTAGGACCAATCTATAAGTATGTCCCTTGGAATAAGATTTATTCCAAATCTTTCTTCTTGTCATCTTCTAAAGCACAGAGAAACTGGAGATACTACAGCATGTGGAATGATGGGAGGGTTAGTAGCACTGCTTTCGAAGTCAGTCAGTTTGGGTTCAAATCCTGTCCCCGAGTTCCTAGCCACATGACTATAAGCAAGTTATTTAAACTCTTTATGCCGGTTTCCTATCAGTGAAATGGGTACCTCATAGGGTTGTTGGTACCCAAAGAGGGTAGTGGTCATAAAGCACCATGGTTAAGAGTGTCTCAGTAACTAACCTAATGTTGACATAGTGGCTGGGCCAGGACTGCACTCAAATTGTTCAGTTCTCATCTTGGACTTGGTGCAGGCAGTAGAGAATCAAGCTAGTGCATGTGTATCATCTTTATTCCATCAATAAATTTAAGCAAAAATCTGGTCCTTAGATATTTTATTCCACCCAGAGATCAACACATTAGAAATGCTTTGCCAAAAGTTGTAAGTTCCTGAGCATGTCAACGTTGTGCACCTCTGGATGGGATCACTGCGAAAACAGTGAGTGCTGTTGAGCAGTCCAGCATCAGAGCTTGTTTATGAGGACCTGCAAGCTTCTCTAACCATGTTTTTCTTTCAGTTTCTGCCATGTTGGAAAATGAGAGCATTCAGGGTCTATCTGGTGTGAAGCCAATGGGCTACCGGAAGCGCTCCTCCAGCATGGCAGACGGGGATAACTCATACTGCCTGGAAGCCATCATCCGCCAGATGAATTGCTTTCACACCGTCATGTGTGACCAAGGCCTGGACCCTGAGATCATCCTGCAAGTGTTCAAACAGCTCTTCTACATGATCACCGCAGTGACTCTTAACAACCTGCTCCTACGGAAGGACGTCTGCTCATGGAGCACAGGCATGCAACTCAGGTGAGAGAGGCTCTCATCCAACAAAGGGAGAGAAGGGACTCCCGACACTAGCTGGAAGCAGAGCATAATGTGCTTGCCTCTAAAAATGAAGTCCTGATCTAATAGTGCTTGTCACAGCGTATGATTCAAACTCAGGTTCTTTTTATTGGTTGAGGAAATTCATTACCACCAAGGTGGTAAACATTAAAGCTTAAGGACTTTTATATAGTTGAAGACTAGATACAATGTGGCCAGGTAAGAGAAATCAGTGAGTTAGGAGGCATGAAGGCTTACAAAGACTACAAATATGCTTGTGAATGTTAAATATACATTGTTTCAATTCAGTACATCTAATGCCTTCTCCATTGCTTTATAAAAATTTATTTCAGTATTTCTTCTTTGGTGGCTTTTTAGTCCCCTTCATTCTTGGATTCGTTTGTTCTTCATTAAACAAACGGCTACCTTTCCAGCTTGTAAACTGTGAGGTAGTTGAGGTGAGGATGATGACACTGGTGGCAGCTATCCTCAAAGCACAGGGGTGCCTTCAACCGATGAATTGGGGCTTAACCACTCACTTTTTACCTGTGGCTAAGGTATAATATAAGTGAGCTTGAAGAGTGGCTTCGGGGAAGGAACCTTCACCAGAGCGGAGCAGCTCAGACCATGGAACCTCTGATCCAAGCCGCCCAGCTCCTGCAGTTAAAGAAGAAAACCCACGAGGACGCGGAGGCCATCTGTTCTCTGTGTACCTCCCTCAGCACCCAGCAGGTAGGGTTACCCCGGTGCTTAGGGCAAGTCCTGCTTCTCAATCTGTTCTAGCCGCTGCGGGGGTGGGTATGTGTGTTTAGGGGCACACCCCCTGCCTTTATGTAGCCAGACACCGCTTTGGTCTGTGAAACAAGATGCCACAGCTGCTGTTTCCTGTAACAGCAGCTGGTTCTTCTTGCTCACTTAGAAAACAAAGTAGTAACCAGGCACATAGGGCACATCAGTAATCACAGCAGTTTGGGAGGATGACACAGAAGGATCATAAGTCTGAGAACAGCTGCAGCAATTTAGCAAGGCCCTATCTCAAAAACTAAAAAGCACTGGTGATGAAACTCAGTGGTAAAGTGGCTCTGTTCAATCCCCAGTCCACAAAAAAGAAAACAAGGGCTCTCCCTGCTGCAACCCCTTCTGTACTGGGAATTGAACCCACTGGTCTTGCATACGCTATACAAGCACTCTGCCACTGAGCTATGCCCCAACACTTTTTAATTTTGAGAAGGAGTATGGCTAAGTTGCCCCAGTTGGACTTGAACTTGGAATCCTCCCTCATCCTCTGGAGTAGTTGGGATCACAGATGTGTGCCATTGCACCTAGCCACTACTTGTTTTAAATAATGAGTTCTGAATTGTTTCTTATGTAGAAATTTTAAATTTTTCTGAACTTTTCAGCATCAAGCATCTATTCTTTCCAATTATTTCAATATGATTATGTTTTCCCTTAAGACTCCATTTATATTGGTTTAAATGAAAGTCATTAAGAATCAAGAAGTATTTAAATGTCACTTTCTTTTCCCCCCACTTCCAAAATTGTATTTATATTGCAACTCAGTTGCAGACATACCACCTGTCTAAAAAAGATAGATCCACAGACAGCCAGACCTTGCCCTCTGTCCTGGGTGTGCCTACTGGAAATGGCTACAGAGACTGGCACAAAGAAACTAGACTTTCTAAATCAAGTGCATGCCCCGCCCCCAACATCTAAAACAGTAAGCTCCAAACTTTGCGTAACAAAGTAAACACACCTCTCCTTACCTCCTACACTAACTACTAATAAATGAACTATTGAACTCTTAAGAACATTGTTTCCTTCTGCAAATGTACTAAAAGTTTTCCAATGTTGCCCTCTTTTAATTGTACTTTTCTTTCACAAGAACTTCTAGATTGCAGCTGGCTCTACAGCTGGGTGGGCTACTTCCACCAATTAGTAAGCAAACCAAAGATTATCTCCCTTCCAAATAAGCAGAAAATCTCTTTTATACATGAATTTTTGCATTTCATTTTTCATGGGAGAGGGAGGTAGAAGAGGATTTGGGTGCCTAAACAAGGCATCTAAGGTAAGACTCCCATTATTCCTTGGAAGAAATCTTGTCCTTACTGGTAGATAAGAGGCTGAGGATTTCAGGCAACAGATTTCTGAATTCCTCATTATCTATAGGCAACCAAGCACAGGGACAGGGTTGATGAGAATGTGGGGAATGTGGATGAGGGAAAAGTCTCAGATCTCCCAAGTGAGCCCTGAGTGTGGATTTCTACTGTATGTAAATATCAGTCCATCTCCTTCCATGTTATAAGTCTTGTCTAAAGATCATGCTCTTTAGACCATGCTCTCAAGACCAGTGTCATCTGGTCTTTAAGGCTGTCTTCTGTTCATGTAGCTCTGTGTTAATAAACTTGTTTTCATTCCAACAGATCGTCAAAATTTTAAACCTTTATACACCCCTGAATGAATTTGAAGAGCGAGTAACAGTGTCCTTTATACGAACAATCCAAGTAAGTTTTAAAATACTAATCAATTCTGTAAAGTTCTCATCTAAAACTGTAAAAAGAAGTGAACTTCTATGGTTTAAAAAAATAGTTCTAGGTGAATACCACACCTTTATTTTTATGTGGTTCTGAGAATCGAACTCAGTGCCTCACATGTGCTAGGCAAGGGCTCTACCATTGAGCTACAACCCCAGCCCTGAACTTTTAGGTTTTAACCTTTATTAATATACTACTTAGAAGACCTCCCATTCCTAGGCGTTCTACTTAAATAAACATGAACCCTAACACCTGTGAATAACTTGTTAACTATATACACACAAGACTGAACTGTTAGTCTCTGCCACTCAAATCTTAGGCTGAATCTAAGTATTTTGTTTCCCAGTAGCACATTACTAAGGCACCAAATGGAATTTTCAGAGAGCAGAATATCAACTCTACTCACAAATGGAACTAAGAAACATTCTTAAGACTTAAGAGTTTAAATGGTGTCTTTATCTTTAAGACTCATAATGGAAATGGCTACAGAGACCTTAAAAAAATCTGCTTGGAAAAAAAATATTTTAGGCAAATGATTTTTGAAATCTGCCCTGGCTTCCTTGAGTTCAGCCCCTGGTAATCTTGACTGAGCACCTGGCCTGTGTGTGCGGTGGTGACTGACAGCACAGGGATCACTCAGAACAACAGGGCATGTGTCTCCCATGATTGCACATAGGGAAGCCCTTGGAGACCCCTTAGTGAGTAAAGTGATGCCAACATGAAACAAGGATTTAAAAAAAAAAAAGACAGCAGTAGGAAAATTGATCAGAGGAGGAATCGTGGAGGAAGTTGAAGAACCTAGAGAAAGCATAGGCTTTTTGTAGAAGAAGCTTTCCTCTGAAACACTCAGGATTTTATTCAGAGCCTATTCTATGTCTCATTGTAGAGATCCAGAGATTTAGAAAGATCACCTTGTGTCTGAAAAGTGTTGTGGCAAAGAATACATGAACTTTAGCCCCGTGTCTAAGTAGAGGATCGAGGCCAAAAGTCAAGGAAGCGATGCCAAGTCAGACTGAAGGTTGACTGTTTTCTTACGGGCAATGGAGAAATCACAAGATTATCAAAGATACAGCCTGCAGAGGAAAACAGGCCCTCGTGCTAACGCATGCCATGCCAGGGCACGGGAGGTGCCAATGGAAAGGATCCAGTTAGGGTAGCACATAGCCAGCTGCAGAAAGGGGAGCCAGAGTCCGATGACAGAAGGAAGCCTGAGATCCCAGCCCTCACTGCTGATTTTTATGGAGGGGTGGTAAATGACTCAAGCAAAAGTACAAGTTTAGAAAGTCTCCCTTGTACATCTGAGATACACACACCAGCGGAAGAAGTATAACTGATTATAAATTGGCAATAGCATTGTTTACAAGAAGGGAATTCAGGCCAAAGGTCAAAGAATATATGGTAAGTCAGACTGCAGGTTTAATGAATAAAGGACATAGAAAACATGTCATGGAGGTCAAGTGTCTGTAAATATAACTAAATACACTGACCGGCAGATCCTGCATCTTACTCAGGATTTTTATCCAAAAAAAAAATTTTTTTTGCCAGCTCTAGTTTTATGCTTTGCTTCTACCTAAAAGTGTTCAGAGGAAACAGTCCCACACTTGAACCATTTACCATAAATTCAAGTTCTTTATTAAAGAAAGCTATTGGTTGAGTGCTAAATGCACAATGTACTGACCTTTAAAAACAATTTGAACATATGAATGTACTGAGACATCACGTGCTACCCCACAAACACGTACAATGTTTACATGTCAGTTAAAGTAATTTAAAATTTTTTAATTTAAATTTGAGAGGAATGTTAAACTCACCAAAGGATCTACAAGAGGGTTTCGTGAGCAGATTTGCCTTGAGAATTTTTTTTTTTAAAGAGAGATAGAGAGAATTTTAATTATTTTTTAGTTTTCGGTGGACACAACATCTTTGTATGTGGTGCTGAGGATCGAACCCGGGCTGCACGCATGCCAGGCAAGCACGCTACCGCTTGAGCCACATCCCCAGCCCAAGAGATTTTAATTAATTAAATGTATACATGCTCTTTGCAGTTAAATTGTAATATATGAAATAATTAACTTTTGTCTCATTTTTATACTCTAAATGCTTAACAATTTTTTCAAGTCCTTTAAATAGTAAAGACTATTGATATCTTTCTAATAGAGAAATAAGATGAGCATAAAGACTGTAAGAATTATTATTTTTCAAAGCTTCCTGCCACGTTTTCACATGCTGTGTGATAGGTGTGTAATAACGAATGCAGCAGAGCTCAGAGTGGGCTGAGTGGGAGAAACCGCTGATCCCAGGAGAGATCAGTCTGCCAGGCCCCACCAGAGCTATCATTTATGAACTTGAATTAGGCTTGTAGCTCATTCCTCCCTGAATATCCTTCTCTCTTAAACTTCTTATTTCCAACTGTTTTTTCAAACTGTTAAAATTGCCTTAAAATTTTAGCCCATTTTTTAAGATGCCAGACGCCTTGGTATTTTGTGATTGAGACCTGGGGACATCAGGAGCACTTTCCATTCACACTCTCCAGGCAACTGAAAATGATGTAATCCATTAAAGTGCTGCTGCCACTGTTTAGCCATCTCACAATCCTATGTCAAACTGGTTTTCTTCTGCAAGCCAGTTTCCCAGTACCTTCCAAATGTGCCCACATATTTACTGACCTCGGCCCCTGTTTCAAGGCTTAAGAAAACTAGAGGTGCTGTTAGAGTGAGGCCAGCTGGAACACCCAACTTCTGGAGGAGTTGAGCAGCAGATGAGTGCTCATTGTCTTGCCACTGCTAAAAATTGAGAAATGATGAAATCTCCCGAAAGTCACAGCATATCAAAATGTTGTCACTATTTGAAGCAATAAAGTTGCCTTGTCTCAAAGAGGAAAAAAACACTTTATATCTCAAGCTAGTGTGGGATGACCTGTGTTTTCACAAAATCAAGATGATGGATTTTCCTCTTAGCAATACTTCCACAGTTGAGTGGCCTTTGTAAGAGCTCGGCTCCTCCCTGCAGTCTGAGGTTCTGAGGTTGGTTGTGAATGCACAGGCCAGTACAGGGAGGTGTGTCCAGTTAATAACAAGCGGCACTTACCATGAGCTAGCGGCTGCACCCAGCATTTTACATGCGTTCACGCTTGATCTTCATAGCCTTATGAGAAGGATGCTCTCCCCATCCCTCCACCTTTTGTTTCTGTTTTTGTTATGTGTTAGCTTTGTGTCGATGTGACAAAATGCTAGAAGTAATTATCTTAGAAGGAGGAAAGATTTATTTTGACTCAGTGTCCAGAGGTTCCATCCCTGGACACTTGGCCCTATTCTTTAGGCCATAGTACATCATAACAGGAACATGTGACAGGCCTATTTGCATCATGGAGGCCAGGAAGCAAAAGACACAGGAAGGGGCTAGTGTTCCAAATATCCCCCCCACCCCCGCCAGGCATGTCCCTGAAGACCTGACTTCCTCCCAATGGGCCCTGCCTCCTGGAGATGCCACCACCCTCAACAGTAACAAGGCTGGGGGCCAGCCCTTTAATGCATGTGCTTGTGGATGACATTCCAGATCCAAATTATGGCAATGTTGTACCATTTTAATCATTTCTACATGTACAATTTGGTGGCAGTAAGTACATTGACAATGTTAGGGAACCATCAAAACTATTTGCAGAATCAGTCCATCATCCTGAATAGGAATACCCATTTGAGCAGTGACATCTATTCATCTATTTCCCTTCCCCCAGCCTCTGGAAACCTCTCTTCTCTCTGAATTGGTCTAGTCTAGATGTTTCATTAAGTAGACACGTAATTTGTCCTTTTGTATCTGGTTTTTTAATAACGTTTTCTTGTAGTGTCTTTGACTTTGGTATCAGATCATTACTGGCTTCATAAAGTGAGTTAGGAAGTGCTGCTTTTGTCTTCCAAAACAATTTTTCTTTTGGAAAAATTTGAGAGGAATTAGCATTAATTCTTTAAATGTTTGGTAGAATAACCATTGAAGCTCTCTGAACCTGCCCTTTTCTTGTTGAGAGGCATTTCATTACTAATTCAATCTTCTTGTTTTATATATATTCAGATTTTCTATTTCTTAATTTTAAAAACAATTTAGTTATATATGGATAGAATGCCTTTATTTTATTTTATGTGGTGCTAAGAATCAAGCCCAGTGCCTCACACATGATAGGCAAGTGCTCTGCCACTGAGCTACAGGTCCAGCCCTTGAGTGAGTTTTGATAGTTTGTGCTAGCAGGATTTTATCCATTTCATCTAGATTATCCAATTTGTTAGTATAAAACTGATTTTAGCATTCTCTTAACCCTTTTTATTTCTGTAAATTTGATAGTAACATCCTCACATCCGTTTCTGATTTTGGTTATTTCTGAATTCACTCTTTTTTTCTTAGTTTAGCTGAAGACTTATCAATTTTATTGAACCAACTTTTAATTTTTGTTATATTCTTCTATTCTCCATTTATCTCCATTGTAACTTTTATTTCCTTTGTGTTGCCTGTTTTGAGTTTAGTTTGCTCTTCTTTTTCAATTGTGATTTACATGACCCGTGAGCTATTTGAGATTGTTAATTTCCATATCTTGGTGGATTTTCCAGTTTTCCTTTATTTCTAGTCTTATTGCATTGTAACCAGAAATGGTTATATGACTTCAGTCTGAAGTTTAATAAGACTGTTTTGTATAATCTATGGTCTGTCCTGGAGAATGTTCCACCTACATCAAGAATGTTATTTCTGGGGCTGGGGTTGTGGCTCAGTGGTAGAGCACTTGTGTCCATCTACAACGAAAAATATTACCCCAAAAAGGTTTCTGCTCTTGAGTGTTCTGTATGTGTGTTAGGTCTGAAGGGCTTGTCATGTCATTCATGGCCCTCTATCAATTTTCAGTTTTATTCCATCTGTTATTGAAAGTGAGGTGTTGAAGTGTCCAGCAAGCATTGGAGAACCATTTCTTCCTGCAGTTCTGTCAGTTTTGGGTTCATATAATTTAGGGCTCTGTTGCTGGGTATATATGTGCTTGTAATTGTTCTTGATGGATTGAACCTTTTTCTGATACATAATGTCCTTCCTTGTCTCTAGAAACAACTTAATTTCGGGTGTGGTGGCATAGCCTGTAATCCCAGCAACTCGGAAGGCTGAAGCGAGGCCAACTTTGACAACTTGGCCAGACCCTGTCTCAAAAAATAAAAGAGCTAAAAAAAAATAGCTGGGAATGTAGCTCAGTAGTAGAGTACCCCTGGGTTCAATCTCCAGTTCCAAGAGAGAGGAAAGGAAGGAAAGAAAAAATGTCTGCTTCATTCTTGAAGGACACTTGTATCAGATATAAAATTCTCAGCTGACGTGTTTTTCCTTCAGACATTTTCATCCCACTGTCTCCTAACCTCCATGGCTTCTGATCTTATTTTGAGGATACCTTCTGACAAGTTATTTCCCTTGCTGTCAAGATTCCGTGTCTTTGGGTTTTGACAATTTGTAATATTTCTCACTATATATCTCTTTGAGTTTATTCAAGGTGGGATTCAAGTTTCTTGAATGTGGCATAAATGTCTTTCATCAGATTCAGGATGTTTTGGGGCATTATTCAAATATTTTTCTGCCCTCTTTTCTCTCTTTCCTGGAACTTCTAAAATATGTATGCTGGTATATTGGTACCTGGTTGCTCAGGTTCTATTCATTTTAACATTGTTTTTTCTTCCTCTTAGACTGGATTGTTTGAGGTGTCTATCTTCAAGTTTATTGACCCTTTCTTCAGCCTACTTAAGTCCACTGTTGAACGCTTCAGTGAATTTTTCATTTCAATTATTATACTTTTCTTAAAATGTCTGGCTTCAAATAGGAGGAAAAGCGAAGAGGATCTGACCTTTTAAATACTCCATTTGATACTGCCAGGTCTTTGATAGTAAAAATGATAGTGATTTTAGCCACTGCATCCCAAGAGATGCCTGAACTGGGCCAGGTGTGGTGGCGCACATCTATAATCCCAGCAGCTCAGGAGGCTGAGGCAGGAGGATTACTAGTTCAAAGCCAGACTCAGCAACTTAGCAAGGCCCTATGCAACTGTGAGACTCTGTCTCAAATTTTTACAAGGGCTGGTAATGTGGCTCGGTGGCTAAGCACCCCTGGGTTCAATCCCAAGTACCAAAAGAAGTGGGAGATAGGAGGGAGGCCTTAAACCAAGGCAGGCTTCTGTCTGGGATGCCCCCAGACCAACCAAAGTGCACACAATCTCAAATTTGTGGAGGACCAGGTCCCATTGCTTTTCCTGGAACCAAGCAGCTCTAGAAATGCAGTTGTCTGTCCCCACAGCTGCTCTGGGGCTGAGGAATGGGGCATGGTAGCCAGTTCCACATGCTGCTCACAGCAAAGATCAGCCTCTCCTTCAGTCAGACCCTCTCCCAGTTAAAATAAGCATCCAGGCAGGTTCCAGAGTTCTGAAATAGCTGATAACAACCACTCCTTCCAACTGCATAGTTTCCCTAGTGGAGGGACCAAATCCTAGACTTCCTCTTCTGCCAATTTATGTCCTGTTGTTCTTCCCTGTTCCAGGAAACTGAAAGAGAAAGGTTCATAAATTTGCCCAGGGTGGTACAAGTGCTCAAGCTGTCTGCTTCTAGAACCGATGCCTGCAACCACTTTACTCCAGTGCCTCTGTACCTGAGATCTATCTTTACCTGCTCCTCTTAGATGGAATTTTTTTCTTTTAATTACGCTTTCTCCCTTCTAGAGAATTATCTGATTGACAGGCTTAAACCAGAGCTTCTCCCTGCACCACTCAATATCTTGGGTACAGGGAGACCGCATTCTCCTGGTCCTGACAGCTTTATTAATAAGCGCAGAAATATTCCCATGCTATATACCAGCTCACTTTTGTGAATCCACTTAAATTGGCTATTTCAAATGTAGTAAGTTCTTATGTGGCCTTGTTCTTCCCCGTAGGCACAACTACAAGAGCGGAATGACCCTCAGCAACTGTTGTTAGACTCCAAACACATGTTTCCTGTTTTGTTTCCATTTAATCCATCTTCCCTGACGATGGACTCAATCCACATCCCCGCGTGTCTCAGCCTGGAGTTCCTCAATGAAGTCTGAAGATGTGCGTTTCCCACGCCAGCTTGCTTCCCAGTGAGAGCAAGAAGGAAACATGTGCAGTGAAATGACCCTGCGCATCTGTGGAATCTGGTAAAAATGGATCAAATCGGAGATGGAGAGCCTGTGGAAAGTGTGAACTAAGACACATCTCTCTCATTATTTTGGGTACATACTGCTCAGAATAAAAACACCTGAAATAAGTTTTTTTTTTTAAAGGTTTGATTTCAGTCTTAAAAAAAAACCAAAAAACACAAACACACACAATAATCTACAACCACCAAGCAGTCCCTGTGGCCATCTAAAAGGTATCTGTTCTATAAAGTGGAAGTGGCCCAGCTCTGATCTTTGTTAACTGAAGAATGTCTAAATTAAGATATTAAAAATATATAACAAATTTCCTGCAGAGGACTTACCCTTATTTGTAACCTTGAAAATGGCATCTACTGACATCCGGAGGTTGACAAACCACAGGAGTGGGTGAGCTTGTGGCGAGATGTTTTGAAAACAAAAATAATGGGCCTGGGCCTCTGAGAAGCTGTGAATCAGACAGTGGTACAAGTGACTTCCAGATAAAGTATTTTGCATATTAGTTTCTAAAGCAAAATTAATAGACCCAGTCTCTAATATGCTCAGGGTCTTTGGGTAGTCCTGGGTTTTTAAAGAGTTAGGCTGAAAATGCTACTGTCCCAGGTATCAAATGTGAGAAAGATGGAAAAATATTAAAATGCTAGTCTGCACTCACCAACAAAACTTCCACACAAAAAATGTATATAAGCTAACTATTAGAGAATAACAATTCTTTATTAACAGATGTAAAAAGTCAGTGTGAAAACTTAATCTCTTAATGCCATAAACCTCCAATACATCATATAATTTGCTACTAATCCCAGACACCCAAGAAAGGAAGAAAAATAGACTGCAGTTTGAGAACTCTGAGAACTTTAAGAAATAATACATAATCATTAAGTTATTTTCCAAAGACTTGTGGTTTTTGTTTTGTTGGGATTTGGGGTTGCTTTGGGTTTTTTTTTTTTTTTGAAAGAATAACATGGCTTAAGCCAACTTCTTAAGCTTATTTTCAACATTTTTCATATTTACCACATAAAAATCATTGTAAATATCTCTGCTGTGAAATAAAGATTTAGCAAGAGTATTCAGTAATATCACATAATAGATATAAAGTCCACTGTTAGGATTTTTTGTTTTGTTTTTGAGGGTTTGGGGTTCTTTGGGACTCTCCAAAAGATTTCTCTACATGTTGGAAGTAGAACACCCTCCACCCCATCTTGTACTCAGCCACCCAACTTAGAAGGCTCTTAGGAGCACAGCACACCCTCAGCACAAAACAGTCCTCTGTCCTGTGCTGGTGGAACTCGGTGTCCCGTCTTCCTCCTCATCTGGGGCAAGAACAAGGCACAGGGCCTGGTGAAAGCTGCTGACAGTTGTGTTCAAAGGCACTGTCATCAGTCAGCATCTTTGCCTCTGTCCACATTAAACATCCTGGGGCCCCTTGGATATCTGCAGGGTGGTGCCTTCCCTCCTTAGTTTGAGGTTCGTAGTCACTGACATCCCTGGGACAGACCTTTCAACCCACAGGCTGACTTCAGAAAACCAATCTAAAGCAACTGGGATTGTGGCTACCTCTGCTTTAAAGTCTTTTGTGAAATATGATATGCTTTCTAATGCACTTTAGTTTGAAATTAAGTCTCATGTAAAGACTGTCCTGACCTTCAAGATAACCAAAAATGCCTTGATATTAGCAATACGCAATTTTAACAAGCAGTGATTCCACAAATACAAGGGCTTACTGTCCTTAAACCATTATCCCTCCACACTCTGGGTTGCTACTCTGCTGTCACTGGTTCATCACTAGAGGCCAAGAGCTCACTGAACAAAAGTGTGGCAGTTAGAATACATGGGGTAGACAAGTTCATGAATTGTCCTCTTGGCCTCTTCCAAAAGACAGGGCATTCAGTTGGAATTCTAATTTACAGATGACTGAAAAATACAGTATTGATTGCATAATGTTTAGATCTGCCCAATTTAACGTCATACTTGGAGGCTGAAAGAAGGTGAACTTGAACCTTTTGTTGGCTTTTTATCCCCAAGTGTAAAGTCAATAAACCTCAAACACTTCCCAACTTCATGAAATTGGATGACTTAATTTAAATAATTCAACTTGAAGGTTTAAATTCACCAAATATCTCTGCTTTCCATTGTTTAAAATTTGACAACTTTTCTCCGTGCCTTTAACAGTTACTGAGATAACTGATTTATCAATTGTTTCTCTGAAATAAGTGTTGCCGTGGAAAGAATTTCAAAGTTCAGTGTAACAACATAGTGGACTTTTCCCTTTTGAAACAGAAGCATTTTAAAGGTTACTGAAGAATCAAATATTTATAGCAAACAACTTGTGTTGTATTACATGGGACCTGTTTACCTATAATAACGGGTGTATTTACCCATGAATTAATCGTTGCTGATACTGACAAGCACAGTTCTCCATGCATTCTCCTTGTGCTATCAGAGTCATGGTATCTATAGGCTCACCTGGGAAGCAGATTAGACCCAAAGGTAGACTTTCCCCCACTTTCCATGGAGCATGCTGTTAGGGGTTATTTCCCTTGATTCTTCCTAGTAATAAATTTTAAGGCTTTGTTTAAAAAAAAAAAGCCATGAGCTTGGAAAATTTAGAATGAATTTCTACCATCAGGGCTGGGGTTGTGGCTCAGTGGTAGAGTTCTCCCCTAGCACACATGAGGCACTGGGATCACACCTCAGCACCATATTAAATATAGTGTGTCCACCTACAACTAAAAATTTTTTAAAATATTAGCCTTAATGAAGGCACTAAGATTGTAGTAACAAGTTAGAACCCATTTACTTTGCATTGTCTTCAGACTGTTGGCCTAATCCTAAGGCAGTGAGAGTGTCCTAAATTGAAGCATTTGTACAATGCCTAAGTGACTACATGGTTACTGAAATGTGACCACATGGGGCAGGACCCTTCCATTTTTCTCACAGAATATTTGCAGTCTCTAAAATTAATCTGCATGAGCCAAATAACCAGAATTTACTTTTTGTATACATTGGTGCCATAATTAGAACATTAAGGAATATAGAAAATTAGAAGTGAATGCCAATGACTAATACGGGACTGGATTTTTCTCATAAAGGTCATTAGATACTAATTGTTTTTCCTTAAAAAATTCTAATTAAAGGGAATCAGATGAAATTAAGCTACTTTCTAAAATGACACAATATAATCCAGATTCAGATCTAACATTTTGCCATCAACTGATGTTTAGATGAAGGACTTCCTCTCTGAAGGAGTCCACACCATTTTCAGGGGTAAATATATCATTACAGAAGAAATGCTACTGATAAAAGTATTTTTCCATTTTGGACAAATATGTAAATTACACCTTTGTTTATAGAAAAAATGCTTGTAATAGTCACTGTTAATATTCAGCTGTGGATAAAATTTGTGGAAATAAATACTTTTGAATAAAAGTGGTGTGCCAATCTAAACTTAAAACAGCTACACATTGGCTAAAAAGTGTTTAATGTTAAACTTCATTCTGGGGCCTATACACAAACATGTATCAGTATCATTTAAACCAGAGGTTAGCACACAGTGGTCCAAAAGTCGGGGGTGTTGGAGAATTTTCCCTCTAACATAACAGGGCTTACTGAGAAGCTACTTTAAAGCTATAAAATTCAAGGCACTTTGGGAGTAGGAAGACTTAGCAGATCAATGAAACAGAATAAAGAGCCTGGAGATAGAACTGATTACATGTGTAACACAGCATGTGGTAGAGATTAAAAATGAGAAAATGTTTACAAAATATTGAATTTGTAAGTGAAAAATTAACAAAATGGGGGAAATCATCTGGATGGGTAAAAACGCCATACCACCAACATATTACCAATTGTCCCCTGAATCTCAGTGTCTAGCTCAGTGGTTGTGTGCTCAGCACCACAAGACCCTGGGTTTTATCATGGGGATGGGGTAGTAATATCCACAATGTACTGTTTACTGAAAAGTTGCCTCTGAACCCAACTTCCAATTCAAGGATGGATTCCCCTTCCTTTCTGGTGTCTGACCAGATAGTTGCATTTCAGGAAATACTTCACCTCAGACTTGTCTAGGCCTGTCTTTAACACTTCATCAGGAAAGCTATGAAGAGAGAAATTTCACATCCAGGAACTGTTCTGATGCTGGAATTAGGCCATGTTGTTGTTTTGCACATGAACAATTTTACAAAGTACCAATATCAGATGTTTTTGATTCTGATCAGGTGAGACAAAACCAGAATTTTTGTGTAAGTACAAAAACAAGATTGCTGTATGTAAACCATGCAACACCAACATACCAAATATCCCCTCATCAGCTACTCTGAGGAACAGCAACTTCACCGGGTGTGGCTTTGGCCTAACTCTAATCTCCCCTCCACCCTAGTGCTAGAGATCAAATCCAGGACATTGAACAGAGGTAGAAAAATTGGCCAGTGTAATAGAATGGAGGTCCCAACCAAAAAGACATCCAAAAATCTCTTTTCTGGTTGATTTTGTAGTAGGGGGAATATTATTTCTAAATAAGGTTACAGTCACATAAGAATATTTCAACAGATAGACTGCATGTACAATAGTGGTTCCACAAGATTATATCACCCAGTCATGGCCATCTTAGTTTGTGTGAATACACTGTTGTTCACACAATAATGAAGATTCAGGCCATGTCCCCATTAATAAGTGAAGCATGACTGTATGTCAAGGTGCCCCCTACTTCTTGACAGCACCCAATCTAGAGAGAACTACTGCTTCTTTGGACCCTCCTCAAATCACCTAGCTAAAGGTCAAATCCTAACACCCTGTTACTGAGACACTACCCCAGCAGTTCCCTAAGTCATAGTCCTGGTGTGCTGCCTACCATGTTGCAATGGGCATTAAACCCAACTTATTCAACAATAGGTTTGTTTCTGGAGGTGTTTGGCTTGAGGTAATTAACAGTGTTGTCTTCTTCCACCAACATTACTATTTTACAGAGTAAATTTAGGCCCAAGGAGATATCAGGATTTGTTGTAAAGTTGCATTGTTAAATAAAATTCTAACTAAGGCTCTTTACCTATATAGACACTGAAAAAAACTTTCAAACAAACAGAAGAGAATATCAAGTATCTTTCAGCACAAGTCTGAGACAGTCTTAAGGCCACTGGAACTTACCAAGACATAGGGCAAACTTAAAATGAGAGAATTCAGCAATTCAATGTCTGTATTATTTTCTGTCTACATTTCTTCTCCTTAACCTTGTTTGCAAATTGAACTTTTTGAACAGTGGTCATTTGTCGCAAGGACAAAACCCACATTCAATAGATAAAGAAAATGTGGTATATATACACAGCCATAAAGAATGAAATAATCTTCTCTCTCTACCCCATAAACTAAAAAAAAAGAAAAAAAGAATGAAATCATGTCATTTGCCAGTAAATGGATGGAGTAAGACTATTATGATAAGTTAAATAAGCCAATCCCCCAAAATCCAAAGGCCGAATGGTCTTTCTGATATGAAGATGCTAATACACAAAAAGCAATAGCTGGGGTGGGTGAGGGTGGGATAGAAGTTCATTGGATTAGAAAAAGGGGGATGAAAGGAAGCGAGGGAGTGGGAATAGGAGAGACAGGAGAATGGATCAAACATAAATTTCCTATGTGCATATATGAATACACAGCCAGTGCAATTCCACATCACATACAACCACAAGAATGGGAAGTACACTCCATGTATGTATAGTATGTCATAATATACTGTCATGTATATTTAAAAAGAACAAAAAAACCATAAGCTAATATTTGCCTTTTAATGAACAAGAATTGAAGACCTCATCATAGCAATTAGATCAGCAGTGAACATGTACATAATTTTCACAATGTCACTCTTTCACATTCATATGCTCATTTAAAAAAAAATTGTCCTCACTCCTGCTGACTTCATCAACTTTCCAGTTTCCATTACTGAAACTTCTAAAACCATTGCTGCTTAAGCAGCCATATACCTTGAGTATTATAGGTAGAAAGAAATACTATGCATTTTTAAAAACACTAAAGCTAAATCTGTAAGAGTAGAACAATAATTTTACATTTCATGACAAGTTTCACCTTTAGACCAAAAAGTTACAGCTAATTTTTACATACACAGTGTTGCATAGACTGCACCTACCTAAAGTTATGTAAACATGAAAAGAACTAAATACATTACAGAATAACTCATTTCAAATCATTCTATAGCTTACTTGAAGGATATATTTCCTTCCAGCTTTTATTTTGAAGTAAAAACCTACAGAAAACTTATAAAAATGGAACAATTAACATATACTCTCCATTAGATTCCCCAATCAGTAATTTTGCATACTTGCATTCTCTTTCTTTACTAGTTTCCTTATATACATTTTTTAGTCTTTTGAGAATGAGTTGCAGATATCAAATTCTTCACTTCTAAATATTTGTTTATCTGCTAAAACAAAAGACAGTCTCCTGCATTTTAACAAAATTATCATAATCATAATTTTCATAATCAGGAAATTTAAAGTTAGTACTACTATCTCTGGATGATTTATATTTGTTTTCCTAATTGTCTTCATCCCATCCTTTAGAGCTTTTAAAGCCAGATTCCAATTAATATCACATATTAAATTGTCACATTTCTAGTCTCCTTTAATCAAATACCATTCCCACTCTTTTCTGTTTTTCACCACATTGACATTTTTGAAGAATTCAGGTCAGTTGTTTTGCAGAATATCCCTCAATTTGGATTTGTCTTATGATGAGATTCAGGCCATGGGGGAAGGGGGTCTTACATATGGGTGGTATGTTCTCTATTTAGCAAGAGGATGTCAGTTTGCCCATTATTGGTGATGCCAAGCTTATCATTTGGTTAAAGTGATATCCACAAAATTTCCACATTGTGACAGCTCCTTTTCTGAAAGAAATTGTGTGAATATCCTTACATATGTTGATATATGTTAACCTTTAATGTTTTTAAGATCTACTCATTAGTAACATTTGTAGTCAGAGAAAACAGTACAATTTGTAAGTACCTGCTGATGGTGATTTGCAGAATGAAAGAGAAATTGTGGTATTTATCCTTTCCTAAATATGTGGAAGGCAAACTGAATAAAGGAATGTGTACAAGAATGTTATCTTTTGTGAATATATAACTTGTGATTCGTAAGTATGGATGCAAAGAAATTTTGTCTTTGAAATAAATACCCAACTCTAAAGTGTAGGTAAGTGTTCCTAAGGGGAAGTATAGTAAGTGTACTTAAAAAAAAAAAAAGGCTGGCTTGATGACCTTTTCAGTTTTCTGTATGTTGGAAAGTTTTCATCATTAAAAAAAAAATAGATTAAAAAAACAAAGAGCCAATAAGAGGGCCACTAAAACGTTTGAAAAGCACGATTCTAGGGCAATCGCTGACGACCTGTGGCCACGCAATCCAACCAAGCCCAGGCTCTAAGGCGCTCACAGCCTTTCCTCTGCCAAGGCCACCTCCTGCTCGCCCGGCCTCAGTCTGTTCTCAGAACACACTCCATCACCTGGTTCCCAGAACTCAGATTGCGCAGTGGTCTTGTCATCATCGGCCAGGGCTCACAGTTACAGCGGCAGAGGCCTCCCTAAACCTCCCTCCAGCCTAGCCTCGCCCGCGGTCCCTCATCCTTCATTTCCCTGCGCCGGGTCCCCTGGCCCCTATTCACCAGCCACGTTTTCATAATCCTCTCAGGCTCTAGGCAAGCAGCGCTGCCCGTAATGGAGCCTGATCATATAAGGAAAATACTGAGGGCTCAGCCCGGGGCCGCAGCGGAGACCCAGGGGCGCCCCGCCCCACTACACTCACTAATCTCACTTTCCCAAATTCCCGGTGCCACTTCTGCTAGCCCCAACCCAGCCCTGCGAGGGGCTCAGCTACCTAGGCCTCTGCCGCGTGGTCTGCGCAGGCGCATATCCAACCAATCCCGCTGCGCCGCCGGAAGCCCCGCCCACCGAGCTTCCGGCCCTGCCCCCCAGGCCTTCGTTGGCCTGGATAAGGGCATTGCGCAATTTGGCACCTGTGGTGTTTTTTTATCTGAAGTATTTGCTAGCGGGTACCCAGGGAACACGGGGTTGTAGGCCAAGGACAGGAAGAATGGGATGTCAAAGGAAGTGCTATCGATGTGCAAGAAAGTCTGTAAAAACGATAATATGAAGAAAAAGCCCCCACCCGGCACGCGTGATCTCCCCAGGAGACGTGGCACCTTTGGTTCCCACGGGAGGGCGGGTGCGCGCGGGCGGCTGGATAACCTTGGCGTGCGGAGGGCGGACCTGGGGACTCCGGGCCCCGGGGAAGTAGGCGAAAGGTCGGGGGCGGGGCCTCGCGGGCCCCGTCGGGAGTCGGCCCTGGATCCCTGAGCTCGCTGCACCAGAAACATCCGCCTCCGGGACCGACTTGCAGCCATGGCCCTGCTCCGAGGTGAGCGCGGCCCCCTTCTCTCCTCGCCCCTCGGGTTCTGTTCCCCGCTAGGCGGGCTTCCGCTTCTGGGCTCGGTGGACCGTCAGGGGTCGTCGGGTGAAGTTCCTTCAGTCTTTCCTGTCCTGTGAGGGGACTTGAGATTGCCTAAACGAGAAAACGCGTGTAAGGCACAGGCGACTACTTTTTCGGTGCAATTTCCAGGGGACTGAGTGGGGGCCAAGGTTGACTTGTTTCTGACTTTGGAGGTCACTCCTTCGCCTAGTAGTGACTTTCGGGTTCGAGCTCAACTATTGGGAAAAATGAGGTGGTCCCGAAAGCTCAAGGGGGCCTGGAGTAGAGCGGGGGCTATAGGCTCCCTGCTGCCTGGTCCTGGTCGCGCATAAGGCGGACTTGATGTTGCCAGGGAATTTCCCCTCCGCTGGCCTGCTGAACTAAAAGCGCTTGGTGGTGGTCTGTTTGAAGATCTGGCTTACTCCCTTTTCTATTCTTTTAGTTTGAGTGACGACAGGAAAGTGCAGGCATCCAGTATGTAACTTTTCCCCCCTTAATTATGTAAAATCCTTTTTTTACATAATTACACAATCTGGAATTTTAAAGATGTGTCCTGTTAAAGAACATTCAGGTAGAAAATGGATTAAGGACTTGAGATCCTTGACAGAATATAAGAACCTGTCTTTTGGGTGTTCTAGGGACCAGTATGATCTGTGAAGAAGGTATGGTTTGGTTTTTGTAAATTCGGTAGAATACAATACAGGATTTGAAGCAGAGAGTGACAGCATCTGATTTTTATTCCACCCATTTCCCCACAACTGTAGGGCTGCTTCTGTTAGAATAAGGAGATCACTTTAGGATCAATTGCAGAAGTCCAGGCAACAAGTAGCGATGACTTTGTATGGGGACCATGGAATTGGAGGAAAGAAAGAGGGATGATTTGGTAGAAAGTGGTGATAAATTGGCTCAGGGCACTAAATGAGAAGTCAATGTCAAGAATGACTCTGATGATACCACTTGTGGACTTAGTAAAATAGGGAGAAATAGATTTGGAAAGGAAGACTGTGAATTCAGCTTTAGGCAAAGAAGTTTTTGATGCCTGTGAAACTCCCAGGTGGAAATTCCCAAATAGGGGAATCTGGAAGTCAGAATAGCCAAAATAACACATGAACAAAGCAGATGAAAAGTAGGTTTTCTGAAGCAAAAACGCAGTGTATCAAGTTTCCTACAATGCATATTTCATTTTATCAGTGCCCTTCTCAACTCTGAACTTACTACACTTACTTAAGCAACATGTTTTTTTTTCCTTTTTTATTACCTCACTTTTTTTCGTTTTTATTTTAATTTGTTATATATGACAGCAGAATGCATTACAATTCATATTACACATACAGAGCACAATTTTTCATATCTCTGGTTGTACACTAAGTAGAGTCACACCATTCACAACCTAGATGCCCTTCAGTAGATGAATGGATAAAGAAAATATGGTATATATACACAATGGAATATTATTCAGCATTAAAAGAGAATAAAATCACGGCATTTGCAGGTAAATGGATGAAGCTGGAGAATATAATTCTAAGTGAAGTTAGCCAATCCCCCCCCCCAAAAAAACAAATGTAGAATGTTTTCTCTTGATTTAAAGATGCTGATTCATAATGTGGTGGGGGAGAGGGCATGGGAGGATTAGATGAACTCCAGATAGGGGAAAGGGGAGAATATTTTTTTTTAGACTCATTCTGAAAAACTAATTTATTTAAAAGCTGCCTTGTAATAAATGTGCTTTCCTTTTTTATTTTTATTTTTTTGGTGCTGGAGATTGAACTTATGGCTTTGTGCATACAAGGCAAGCACTCCACCAATTGAGCTATATCCCCAGCCCATGGCTTTCCTTTTAAAAAAGAAAGTTTTTATTGGTTTCTCATTTTACTATTTCATTAGTTCTTATTACCTTTTTTTTTTTTATAACAGACCCCTTTGAAATTTTGACAGAAACAATGAACCCAATAAAGTATTATACATCAGCACCTGTATTAAGGAAATATGTTAGACATAGTGGGCATTTTTTTTTCCATTTTTTAAATTTTACAGAGAAGGACATTAATGTCCCGGAAGGTAAAGTGGCTTATCTATAACAACACAGGTAGTTATTAACTTCATTAAGAGCACAGAAGTTGAACTTCTAGTAGTGACTATTATAGACTATAATACATCAAAGACAAGGCTCACCTCTCAAGTTGCATACCAAGTGCTTGCAGGACCAGTGGTAAGAAGAGCACATGCCTGATTATTGTAAGAAAAACGATACCTTTGAATAGAATATAATTAATACTGGTAAAGACTATCAATAACTGATCTGATTTTAGTCATCAAGAAGAACCAATCCCTCTTCCATCCCAATTTTTATTAGCACCTACCCAGTGTTTGGCAGAAGGTTTTCACCCAGCAAATTCTACTTTTGCTCATAAGCTTTATTGGATAGTTCATGTCGCCCCTCAAGGCAAACAGGCAGGGCTATTAAGTTACTTTAACTTCTGAAAGAGAAATGGATGCCTTGGCAGTTTTCTTAATTTGTTCTAATTGTGGTCTTGAATTAGTAACAAAGAAGTCTAATGAAATGAGTAAATATTTACCTATGATCTTCATGGAAAGATAGGCAGAGTTCTTGCTTTGCTCTTCCTACTTTTCCTGTGCTATCAAATCAGCACACCTAGACAGGCCCTTTCTTGGAGTTTTTGACTCACTACTCTTCGCTGTCTCTTCACTGTTCTTTAAGTTTGGAAATCTAGTATCTGAATTTTCAGAGCCTTTAAAACCAAGAAAAAAAGATGCAAGATTTTAGGTTGGCATTAAACATTGCTATATTTAAACCTTTTTTTTATTTAAAAAATTTTAATTAATTTATTTTTAATTTATATATAACTACGGAATGCATTACAATTCTTATTACATATATAGAGCTCAATTTTTCATATCTCTGGTTGTATACATAGTATACTCATACTAATTCATGTCTTCATACATGTACTTTGGATAATAATGATCATCACTTTCAGCCATTATTAATTACCCATGCCCCCTCCCTTCCCCTCCCACCCCTCTGCCCTATCTAGAGTTCATCTATTCCTCCCATGCTCCCTCTCCTCATCCCACTATGAATCAGCTTCCTTATATCAAAGAAAACATTTGGCATTTGGTTTTGTGGGATTAGCTAACTTTGCTTAGCATTATCTTCTCTAACTCCATCATTTATCTGCAAATGCCATGATTCTCTTCTCTTTTATTGCTGAGTAATATTCCATTGTGTATATATGCCACATTTTTTTTATCCATTCATCTATTGAAGGGCATCTAGGTTGGTTCCACAATTTAGCTATTGTGAATTGTGCTGCTATAAACATTGATGTGGCTGTGTCCCTGTGATATGCTTTTTTTAAGCCCTTTGGGTATAGACCGAGGAGAGGGATAGCTGGGTCAAATGGTGGTTCCAGTCTTATAGTTTTCTAAGAAATCTCCATACTGCTTTCCATATTGGCTGTACCAATTTGCAGTTCTACCAGTAGTATATGAGTGTACCTTTTTCCCCACATCCTCACCAACACTTATTGTGTGTCTTCATAATAGCTGCCATTCTGACTGGAGTGAGATGAAATCTTAAAGTGGTTTTGATTTGCAATTCTCTTTTAACTGTAGATTGACACAATACCTTTATTTTATTTATTTGTTTTATGTGGTGCTAAGGATTGAACCCAGTGCCTCACATATACAGGCAAGTGCCCTACCACTGGGTTACAACCCTAGCCCCTGTTTATAAACTTTTTGATAACCACATAACCTTAGCATCAGGTCAAATAAATATTGACCAGGTTTTAAAATGCCTTATGAAATAACAAGGGAAAATCTTTAAATTGTCTTTGTCTTTGTGTCTGTACATCTGAAATTATCTTTAAAAATATATTTAAAGGTTTATAATAAATATTAAAAGTACTTATAATAAATATAGTTAAAGATTTAAGAGGAAATACAATTTTTATTGATTTTCTTCTTTCAAAATAATTGTATTTAGTTAAGCCCTCACTCAAGCTAACCTTACAGTCTGGGAGCATCAAGTAAGGAGCAGTGCTATGGTAAGAAGGAAGTTCTTGTTATATTTTCTGCCTGTACTTTTTCTTTTATAGTGTCACATATTTTGCTGCTAACTCTGCCCCTCGCAAATGCTTTCTTTGATTATGAAGTATGGGGAAGAAACTTGTGAAAGGAACTTTGCAGAGAAACATTAAATTAACTTCCATTGTTTCTGAGAAGTTATCACTGGTCATTCAGATCATTCCCTGTATGCAAATGTCATTTTTCTGAGTGCTTTTAAGAGTTTTGTTATATTTGAATTTCAGAAGTTTAACAGTGACATTCCAAAGTGGGAGGGGAGATGTGTATGTATGGTGTGTTTCTTCTGTTGGGAGCTTACATCTACACATTCATGTCTTTTATCAAATTTTTACTTATTATTCCTTCAAATATTTTTCTACCTATTCACTCTTCACTCCTTCTATGACACCATAACTGCTGTCAGTCCTTAAATTTCTACCCATTTTTTATTTTTTAAAAATTAACAAATGTTTTAAAGCAATTTTTTATTAAAAAGATTTATAGAAAAATTGAGCAAAGAGTACAGAGCATTTCCATGTGTCCCTCTTCCCATCATAGTTCCTTCCCCATCAATAGCATCTGTCATTAATGGGGTATAATTGTTACAGTTGCTGAACTAATATTGGTACATTGTTACTAATAAAAGTTTACAGTTTAGGGCTGGGGATGTGGCTCAAGAGGTAATGAGCTCCCCTGGCATGCGTGGGGCGCTGGGTTTGATCCTCAGCACCACATAAAAATAAAATAAAGATGTTGTGTCCACTGAAAACTGAAAAATAAATATAAAAAAATTCTCTCTCTCTCCTCTCGCTCTCTTTAAAAATAAATAAATAAATAAATAAATATTCTAAAAAGTTCACAGTTTATATCAAGGTTCCCTCTAAGTTTTAACAGATATATAAGTGATATGTAATAGCTTTACAGCATCATGCAGAGTAATTTCACTTCCCTAAAAATCCTATATAGTTTACCTTTCATCCCTGCCTTTGAACCCCTAGCAAGGACTTATCTTTTTATTGTCTCCATAGCTTTGCCTTTTCCAGATATTATATAGTAAGAATCATACACTAGGCTGGCAATATAGCTCAGTTGGTAGAATGCTTGCAGTCTTGCATGCACAAGGCCCCGGGTTCAATTCCCAGCATCACACACACACACACACACAAAAGAATCATACACTAGTGGCCTTTCCAGATTGACATCCATCTCTTAATAATATGCATTTAAGATTATTTCTTTTTATAGTTTGATACCTCATTTCTTTTTATCACTGCATAATATTCCATCATGTGTACCCCAGTTTATTCATCTATTGAAGGACATCTTAGTTGCTTCCACGTTTTGACAATTATGAGCAAGCATTTGTGTGTATGTTTTCAAATCATTTGGGTAAATACAAAAAAAAAATTGCTGAACCATATGGTTAAAGTATGTTTAATTTTGTAAAAAACTACCAAAGTGTCTCCCAAAATGGCTATACTCCTTTGCATTTCCACCAGCAGTGAATGGATTTCTGTTGCTCCACAACCTTACCAGTGTGTGATGTTGTCGGTGTTTTGGATTTTAGCCATCCTAATAGTTGTGTAGTGGTATCTTCATGTTTTAATTGGCAACTCCTAATGACATGATGTTGAGCAGCTTTTCACATTGCCATCTGCAATCTTTTTTGATGAGATATCTGTTCAGTTTCTTTGCCTATTTTTAAAATTGAGTTTGTTTTCTTATTATTGAACTTTAGGAGCTCTTTATATATTGTAGATACCACTCCCTTGCCATATAGGTGTTTTATAAATATTTTCATCTAGTGTGACTTGTCTGAAATTTCATGCTCTTAACAGTGTCTTTTTTAAAGCAGATTTTTAAATTTTTAATTAAGTCCAACTTAACAAATTTCCTTTCATGGATTATTTTCAATTGTTTTTCTTCCTACCCTTCAGATTAGATAATTTCTATTTATCAATATTCAACATCACTGAAGCTTGCTTTTTTCATTTCTATTCCATTGTTAAGTTTATTCAGTGAATTTTAAATATTAGATATTAATTACATAAATTTTAGAATTTGTTTTTGCCATAATTTCTTTGTCTTTGCCAAAATGTCCTATATTTTATTATGAGTTATATTTTTCTTTACAAACTTGAGTATAATTATGATAGCTGTTTTTTTTTTTAAATTTTTAATTTTTTTTTATTGGTTGTTCACAACATTACAAAGCTCTTGACATATCATATTTCATACATTAGATTGAAGTGGGTTATGAACTCCCAATTTTACCCCAAATGCAGATTGCAGAATCACGTCGGTTACACATCCAAAAATGATAGCTGTTTAAAATCCTTGTCTGCTAATTCTAACACCTGGGTCTTCTTGGGGTTGGTCTCCATTGATTGTCTTTTTTATTGAAAGCCACATTTTCTTGTTTCTTCATATGTGGATTAATTATAATACAAATGAAGCAGATGAAACATTATAGAGTTTGAATTTTTGTTCCTTTGAAACAAAAATTATTATATTGTATTATATTGACTTCTTTTGTCCGAACTTAAATTACAAATTATGTCTTCCTCTGTAACAGGCAGCAGTTCTAATGTAAGGTCACTGTTTTTAACCTTGGTGAGATGATTATTGTCTGTCCTCCATGTGCATGGTTAGGAGTTCATCTAGATACTTAGGCAGAATTTATATAAAATTGGGATTCTTTCTCTGTGGTGCTTCTCCTTCCCAGATTCTCAGTCATTTTCCAGCAGCTGTGGTTGCCATGAACTTTGTCATCTGATTTTTCAAGTCATTATGACTATGAGTTTCTGAATTGTAGTTATTCCATGCAGCCTGGACTACTAGCCTTCCAGTTATTGCTATAAATAAATTGGACTCCTACTCTGTACTTTTTCCTATCAGCTTTTGTCTATCTCTGCCTATTTGTATTCATTTCTAAGAATTCTTAGATATTGGCTGAAGGCTTTCATTGTTATCTGTAGGAGAGTTGGTGAGATGGGAGCATACTAGACCATGATCAGAAACAGAACTATGGAAATTAGGAAGAAGGCATGCAAAGGGGAACACATAATGAAGAAAATACCAATATAGAAATAGGCAAAGACTATTAAGGAAAAAGGATTAGAAGATATCTACAGAGACTTGGGAAGCCATAGTATGGCACAGAATAACCCAGCTGCCAGACAAAACACTTCTAATGCACCAAACTAATATTTATGGCCTTTTATGAAGACCTAAAAATTTTACCTAGAGAACTGAGTAGATCTTAGATTATGGTTAGACATGTTGTTCTTCACATTCCTTATATTGTAAATTTTTCAATCAGAATGAGGAGAGACTAATATTTTTTAAGCTAGATTTAAGTTTGTTCCATGGAAGGGAGATCATGACTATAAGCTGAAGGATTGTGATTAGATATAAGCAGTGGTATAATGCTTGAATAGTCTGGATTATAGGTTAGTATCTTAGCACAAACCCCCTGTTAAAAGTCTCATAATTTCTTGATAAGATGTGGAAATGTGAACTCATGTTATTTTGGGGAGAATCAATTAGTACCTGCAAAATATCTAATATGAAATCTGTCACTCAGGCAATGCCTCTGTTTGTTAGCTATAACATTTACCTTGTAGAATTGTTGGGAAGAATATATATGTGTGAAAGTGACAAAATGTCCTTATTAGCTCCATAAGCTCTGAAGAGTATTGCTTAACAGCAATAAACACACAGGTAAAAGATGACTTATTTTTTCCCATCTTATCCCAAAGGTTAAAAGATAATAGCAAAAGATCATAGTATTTGAAATGTATAATTGCAGTCATCCTGTGACTCCAGAAGCAATGGCATACAATTCAAAGTATCATAAATTCTATCTGTCTTGAAATGTAATAGAACTAGAGTTGGGGGAAGACTTGATAAACCAAGTCAACCCAACATGGGGACAGATCGTTCATTCTGTTGTCCTTTCTGGACATGCTGCTTCAGGTAGTAGAGTGTGCCTTCCTGATGAAAGTTTTCTAGCAGAAGTTAGAGCCTCTTGTCAGGAATTTTCTAGAGGAAGTTCTTATAGGGTAAGTGAGCACTTGGCCTCTGACAACTTCAAGGTTCTTCCAGTTTGGAGATTATATGATCCTAATACTTAGGCAATATATTCCAGCAGTTAGAAGAAGCATTTCAATTTTCAAAAAATGTTTCTAGCATTATAAAGCACCTGAGGACCAGAATGTTGATTTAAATGGAATGAATTTGCATTGTAGCATGCAGTGCAGTTCTTGGTACCTACCTGATTGTAGGTATCGATCAAACCAATAACTCATTAAGACTCTGCTCTTGGGTATCACTCATTCTGTATTTTACTCTATGAGAGAGACTTTCAATTATTGTTTTAGTCAGCTTTTTATCATCATGATCAAAATACCCAAGAACAACTTTGAAGAAAAGTTGATTTGGGACTCACAGTTTTAGAGGCCTCAGTCCATATACAGCTGACTTCATTGCTCTGGGTGCAAAGTGAGGCATAACATCATGGCCGAAGGGTGCAGAGTAGGAAAGTTGCTCACCTCATGGCAGCCAAGAAGCAGAGAGAAGGAAGACAAAAACAACCACAGAGGAACAACCCTTACAGGGCACATTCCCTGTGACCCGCCTCCTCTAACTGTGGCCCACTTGCCCATAGTTACCACCTGTAAGTCCATTCAAACTAGGATGACCTGATTCTTGGTTATAGCTCCTACAATCCAATCACTTAACCTCTGAACATTCTTGCATTAACACAGGAGCTTTAGGGGGAACATCTCAATCCAACCATAACAATTATTTAATTGAATATTGTACTTTAGCATAAGTTTTCACAGTGAGATTATTTAAAGCATGTTAAGGATACTGACTAATCTGTGAATGTTTATAAATCTCTTCTCATTGCATTAGGTGTGTTTATTGTTGCTGCTAAGCGAACACCCTTTGGGGCTTATGGAGGTCTTTTGAAAGATTTCACGGCTACAGACTTGAGTGAGTTTGCTGCCAAGGCTGCCTTGTCTGCTGGCAAAGTCCCACCTGAAACTATTGACAGTGTCATTGTAGGCAATGTCATGCAGGTTAGTAGAGCAAAGTATTCACTTCATTTGCTTTCTTTGATCATTCTCTAAAATAATTTCTTCAACATGACATCATGATGAACAAGATCATAATACTTGAAAGTATTTGAAATTTTTAGTAATCCTTTAACTCCAGAAGTGGTAGCATACATAATTCAAAGCAGCATATGTTCTGGAAACCATATATCTGTCTGACTTCCGTGCATTTCAGTACTTCTTAAACAGCAGATTGACATGTGAAAGTAATTGATTTTCTCTCTGTATTACCCAAGGAGGTACATTAATTAGATTTCTGCTACTGTGACAAAATGCCCAAGATAATTAAAAAGGAGGAAGAATTTAGTTGTCTCACAGTTTTTGAGGTTTCAGCCCATAGTCACTTGGCCCTATTGCTTTGAGCCTGTGACTGTGTGGTACATCATGGTTGGAACATATCAGGAAGGAGGCTTGTTCATGCCAACCAATGAAAAGAAAGAGATACAGGAAGAGGCCACAGCCCAAATATTCTCTCTGAGGGGATGCCCCCAGTGAACTAACTGCTCTCACTGACCCCTACCTCCCAAAGGTTCTAACATCTCCTAAAGTACCATAGGCTGGGGACCAAGCCTTTAATAAACATGGGTTTTTTGAGAGATATTCTATATCCAAACTATAGCAAGAGAGTAGCAGACCCAAGTAATAAACACACTTCCCATAATCCTTATACATTATAGGAACTTGGTCAGCGTTTGTTGTGAGAAGTAAGAAATTCCCTTTCCCTCTGTCTTCAGTATGTGGTATGCAAAGTACATCATCCACAATCAGATTATTGAAAGTTGTATATTCATTCATTCAAAGTATATAAATATCTATTGGGTGCTTAGAAAGAAGCTATTTTAGGTGCTATGAGAGCATCTAAAATGGATCAGAAGGGATATGGATCAAGAGAAAGTTATAATCTAATAGAGATGATAAGGCATATTTTAAAAAAAGATGCCAGTGACGTGATTGCAATTAAAGGAAAGTGGCACTAGGCCTTGAATTTGAACTTGTTCTTTCCATCTTGCCAATGTGTATCTTCACATCCAAAAAAAACAGTGACATTTTATGTTTTGCAGTTATTTGTATTGAGCCTAAAACATTTTCATGAAGAATACTTGATATTAGTTCTCCTTTCTGCTTTTTTCTTGAACTATTACTTCTAATCTAAGAAAGCATTTGAGCAGATCAAATAGAAATAAAATATTTTTGATTTTTGTTTTTCCTAGAATTTATTTTAAAAGAAATGAATTTATTCTAAAATCCTTCCATTTTCCTGCAGCACAGGTTCTTTGAAACTTTACAACAAAGTCATTTTGAGTAGTATCAGTTTCATTGTGTTCATGCCTCTGTTCCTAAAGGCAGTCTTTTTTGCATTAGGTTTCCTGAAAGGCTGAGACACAGTTTCATGGTAAGGATGTTAAGTGTTTAATGGAGGAATATTTGGGAGTAGGCCTTTGTGGACAGAATAGAGAATAAGCATCAAATAACATTTGACAAATACCACAAAGCTATTTTTCTAAAGTTGAATGTTACTAGATGTCATTTAGAATAAGTAAGTTTTACTTTTTCCTTAAGAAGCAATGAAATGCAATCTGGATTATTTTTTTTTTACCTAATTGTCCTAGCTAGAATCTCAAGAGTTGAATAGAAATGACAGGAAATGGTTTATCTATATCTTATTCCTGATCTTAGGGAATTGTATACAGTATATTGTCACAGGAAATATCATAATAGCTGAGGAGCTTTTATATATGCCCTTTCTCAAGTTAGGAAAATTCCCTTCTGTTCCTAGTTTGTTGAATACCATGAAAGGATATTGGGTTTTGTCAAATATATATATATTTGACAAATATATAAATAATATATATATATATATATATTACTATTGACTGAGATGATCATAGGAGTTATATTTTTATTCTATTTTAATATGATTGATACATTAATTAATTTTCAGATATTGAAACAGTCTGTGTTCCTGGAATATGTCCAAATTGGTCATGATGTATATTTCTTTTTATTCATTGCTAAATTAAGTTTACTAGTATTTTGTTAAGGATTTTTATATCCATATTCATAAAAGACATTGATTGATCAGTAGTTTTCTTGTGATACCTTTGTTTAGTTTTAGTATCAGGATAAATGGCCTTATACCATGTGTTGGACAGACATCCAGTCTCTTCTATTTCTAGGAAGATTTGTCAATAATTCGTATTCTTCTTTAAATGTTTAATAGAATTCTTTAGTGAAGCCATTCTGGAATTATCTTTGTGGATAGTTTCTTGATTACTAATTTAAACTCTTCACTTGTCTACTCAGATTGTCTGTTTCTTCTTGAGTCAATTTCTATAGTTTATATCTCTAGAAATTTGTCCCTCTTGTTTAAGTGATCTAATTTGTTGTCATTTGACTGTTCATGGTACAGTTGGTTTTTGTTACTCACGGTAGTTATGTTATATAGACACCATTAACATTGAATTAGCAAATGATGTCCAAAAAACAAATTACAACAAATTTAGAGTTCTAATTGACTTGTACTTACAACTGTAGGATTACACAGCACCTTGTTCTTTAAAACAGAATGAGTGTTTCTGTGAGCTGAGCACAGGAGGTTGGCTTTATAGGCAGAAAAGGACTGAAGAAAACAGAAGCAGAACAAAAAGAGATTGATTATGTCAATGTTACTTTCCTTCTAGGGTTAAAATAGAGGGGATATCCTTATTACACTGACTCAGGTTGACTAGAATCTCCCGTTTTGCAAAAACTGGCCTATTGAAAAGCTCAATTTGATTACATGGAACTTAGCATAAGTGTCCCCATTCTGGTTTGGTTTGATCTGCTGGGACCTAGATCAGGAGCCTAGTTCTACTAAACCATTGCTCCCAGAGGAAAAACAGGGTCACATTCCTGCAAGCCTCTGGTCACATTTTTATTAACCATTCAAGTACATATCTTTGGTTTATGTATATTTCTGTTTTAGGGCACCTCATTTAATTTATATTATTCATTCATTAACATTAAACTGATAACCAAAGCACAATTCATGCCTGAGTGTAGTTTTTCTAATATATGTATGTTTTCCATGAGGCACATCACCGCCTTCTTTTGCTTTAGGAATACTAGACAGCACTTTATCATTATGCTTGAGGGCCATTTTAAACAGCAAATTCATCAACAAAAAAGCACAAAAATGCAAACAACATGGCATTCAGTAGACTACAAGAAGGACACATGTTTATAGTGTGAAAGCTAAAACAAGAAGGCAGAGTATCACTTGGTTCAACCTCATCTGGAAAGGTGTGTATCTACAACTCATATTTTTTACTACTCTGCTCATGTTTAATCGCAAACTTGCTGCAAGTTCTGATTTTTGGATTATGTTATAAATTTTAGCAAATTGGTGAATTTGCAAAGATGGAATCTGTGAATAGTGAGGATCTACTTACTATATTTTGAACTTGCCTATTTAGTCCACACTATTTTGAGAGGTATTTAAAGTTTTTGATGATAAAGTACGAATGTACTGTGTTCTAACCCAGACACTTGCACATGATTCTGCACAAGTGAGGAACTTGAGAGTTATATAAACCAGAGTTCCCACTTCCAGGGAATGGTAGAGTCTGGATTCCAGTCTATATCTCCTAACTTCTAGCCTGATATTCTTTTTATTATCTCAAATTAGGGCTTTTATTTTTTGAAGCAGCTATTTTACCAATCTGGACACTACCAATCTGGTATTAAAAGAGATATAATTACAAAACAGACAAACCTTGGCAAAAGAATATCACCTCTAGCCTTCTGATTTAGTTGGTTTGGTCAGAGGCTTCAGCAAAAGTGTGTTAGTAAAGCTCCTGGGGTTATTCCAGCCAGTAGCAAGGTTGAGAACCACAGTCTGGATACATTCTCTATCTTTCAAAAAAGCCTATTCCGTTTTTCTTTTTGTTTTATTTTGTTTTTATGGTTCTGAGGATCAACCCTAGGGTCTATGCATGCTAGGCAAGCACTCTGCTATAGAACTATACAACCCCAGGCCTGTAGTCCATTTTTAAGTAGCTCTGTTAAAATTTCCATCTTATATTGAGGACTTAATACAAGAATTTCTCTATGTAGAAAGCATCCTTAGTGTGTTTAAAAAGCAATTGACAGTGATAGTATAGCATTGCAAATGTATTTCATACCACTGAACTAGTATGAATGGTGATGATCAATTTTATATATATTTTACCACTATAAAAATGGAAAAAACACAATTGACCAAATTATAGTATTTATCAAATCATAGGAACATATTATATAAAATATGCTGTAGTGTATGCATCATGTTTTACCTTAGGGCCATGTAGTTTATCATTTCTGATAGGTTGCCAACATTTCCATTTCTGTTGTGTTTGTTTTAAAGGCCTGGATTTATAGAGGAAATTCTTTTTCTTGTCCCTCTCTCTGATTTAGAGTTCTTCAGATGCTATATACCTGGCAAGACATGTTGGTCTGCGAGTGGGAGTTCCAGAAGAGGCCCCAGCTCTCACTGTCAATAGGCTCTGTGGCTCTGGCTTCCAATCCATTGTGAATGGATGTCAGGTATGGCAATATTTTGTTTAATTCCATGAACATATGCTAATAGTTATTAGAAGAAATGATCCACTTCAGTAGAACACTTTAGCTTTTTCATTTTATAGAGCCTATTAAGAGAGATCAATATTTGACATTTCTTGGGAAAATATCCATAAGAAGAAAATAGTTACTCAAACACATTAACTTTTAAGAATGATTGAAGTAGAATCTTCAAGTGGAATATGCCAGTCACCAAATGATTCCACTTATGTGAGGCACATAGGGTAGTCAAATTCATAAAGACGAAAAGTAGAATGATGATTTCCAGTAACTAAGGGGCAGGAAGAAGGGGAGGTTAATGTTTCGTCAGTATGGAGTTTAAATTTTACAAGATGAAAGCAGTTCTGGAAACATGGTAGTAATGGTTGCAGTGCAGTATGAATGTGTTTAATGTCACTGAACTGAGCCCTCAGATGGTTAAAATGGTAAATTTTATGTATATTTTGCCACAATTTTTTCTTAAAAAAGCTAATCATGACTATCATTTTTATTGTATGGTTCCTGTATGCCAGGCACTACCTGAGATTTATATTCATGATCTTCACAGACATCCTTTGAAGCAAGAACTATTATTATTATTATTCCCATTTTATCAGGCAAGGAAACTGATTATTGTAGGAATGAAGGTTATTAAGTCACAGAGGCAGAATTTGAACCCAAGTTTGAGAGTTACCTGTGAGGCATTCTGAAATACTGAATAAAGACTATAAGGCAAGAAGGGGAGTTGAAGAATTTAATATCCCATAAAGTGTATTTTATTACCAAGGAACTCAATAATACCATTGGTAGAAAGTCTTTTCATTACAAAATAAGAGACACAGAGATATTGTAACGAATAAATAATTTTCACATGAATTTATAATAATGTGTTTTAAATAGTGCTCTGAATTTTCTTGGCTTTAATTTTTTTCCTCTTTTTTTAGTGATTTTTTAAAAAAAAATAAGTGACAGCGGAATGCATTACAATTCTTATTATACTTATACAGCACAATTTTTCATATCTCTGGTTGTATATAAAGTATGTTGACCCCTATTCGTGTCTTCATACTTGTACTTTGGATAACGATGTCTATCATATTCCACCATCCTTGCTAATCCCCTGCCCTTTCCCTTTCCTTCCCACCCCTCTGTCCTATCTAGAATTCGTCTATTCCTTTCATGCTCCCCCTCCCTACCCTACTATGAGTCAGCCTCCTTATATCAGAGAAAACATTCAGCATTTGTTTTTTGGGGATTGGCTAACTTCTCTTAGCATTATCTTCTCCAACGCCATCCATTTACCTGCAAATGCCATGATTTTATTCTCCTTTATTACTGAGTAAAATTCCATTGTGTATATATGCCACATTTTTTTTTTATCCATTCATCCACTGAAGAGCATCTAGGTTGGCTCCACAGTTTAGCTATTGTGAATTGTGCTGCTATAAACATTAATGTGGCTGTGTCCCTGTAGTATGCTGTTTTTAAGTCCTTTGGGTATAGACCAAAGAGAGGGATAGCTGGGTTAAATGGTGGTTCCATTCCCAGATTTCCAAGGAATCTCTATACTGCATTCCATATTCGCTGCACCAATTTGCAGTCCCACCAGCAATATATAAGTGTACCTTTTTCCCCACATCCTCGCCAGCACTTGTTGTTTGTCTTCATAATAGCTGCCATTCTGACTGGAGTGAAATGATATCTTAAGAGTAGTTTTGATTTACATTTCTCTCATTGCTAGAGATGATGAACTTTTTTTATATATATTTGTGGATTGATTGTATATCCTCTTCTGAGAAGTGTCTGTTCAGGTCCTTGGCCCATTTGTTGATTGGGTTGTTTGTTTTTAATATCACATTCTTAGAGACTTATTGTTTCCTGAGAAATGCAGACAATGGAAAGAGTTGGAAGAATGAAATTAATTCCTTTTTATAGATTCTCCAGATTGACCTAATTATTGTAACTCTTGTCTTTCAGATGTATCCATTAGTAGAATAGATTTTTCTTTTGCCTGTTTAATGGTTTTGTCCTTTATCATATACTTATGCCAATATTAACATCTCTGCAAGTTTTCAAGATTTATATCAAGAATTACAATTCTTAGCCAAAATTCAGGTAGGGTGTGTTACTCAGGCATGAACTATTGAAGTCTATTAGTTACCCTCCTGTTTCTTGGGAATACATATTTTAATATTTGCTTTATAATTATTTCAAAGTATTTGCTTTGAGTCACTAAGCTAGGACATGCTATTAATTTATAAAATCTTTTGTACTTCTGAATACATACTCCAAGTATAATAAAAGAACTTTTTTATTATTGTCTGATTTTAAACAGGAAATTTGTGCTAAAGATGCTGAAGTTGTCCTTTGTGGAGGAACTGAAAGCATGAGCCAATCTCCCTACTATGTCAGAAACATTCGTTTTGGAACCAAGTTAGGAACAGATATCAAGGTTGGAAACTTTAAAATTATTTAAAATCACTTAAAGTAAATAATTTGAATAAATATGTATTCATTTGTAATTTTAATATCTTTTTAGGGAAAATACTATTTTGAAACCCATTTTGTTAATCGAGTATTGGCAAGATATGAGTAATTTGAAATTTGCAAACTATTTCATAACCCTACTTTGGTTGTTAGTTTGACATTTGAATCCACATAGAATTAGACTTAACATGTTTCCCTAGGGATGGGAGAGGTGAAAGAAGAGAAGATATTAAAAAGACAGGCAAATGGTAAATTCATCCCTACTAAATGATTAGTAATCTGAGTAATTAAATCTGTACTTATAGAAATTATATTTCTAGGACAACCCGCCATTGAATAGATTTCTTCCTCATTTACATTGTCTTTGAATACAAATTATACTATCCCAAGTGAGCCAAACAAAAATTGATCCTTCCATCATGGAGAGCTATAACACAAAAATATTCATACTGATAAAGAATGATTACTATTGTTCCCATATTGAAAGAGCTAAGAACATATTTACAATAGTAATGATTGACTTACACTATTCACCTGGTTTCTCGCCTGGCTCTTTTGGAAGCTAAAAGGAATAACACTTAAAGAATGTGTGTTTTTCAGCAGAATTTAAGATACCAAATAAACTTGAGAAATCCTTTGTAAAGACAGCTCAGTAACTCAAAGGTGCCAAAGCAGCAAATGGGACACACTTACCAGAGACTTTAACTACTTGGATAATAATTAAAAATCCTTTCTGATACTTAAGGCACCTCTCTCAGGTTCTTTTCAACCTAGTAGTAATTGATAGAACCACCTGTACTGTCACTGAATGCATGGCCTGGTAAAGGAGCACAGGCATTTCCTGTAGTGCTCATGAATGGTTTACAGAGATGGCCCAAGTAAAATGTAAAATAAGGACTCAGTGTCAAGTTTCTTACAAATTACAACCATGAGGATTTAATTTTCAATCATAGGGCAACTTCCTATGTCCTCATCTTACACGTTCAGTACTATTAGCTCTCTCTAGAGCTCCATATGTAGAAGCCAAATGAATGTGTGCATTTGATTGTGAAATGTTGCAATTTGGAGCATTTTTTTAAAATATTGGATTAAAAATATCACAGACCCCAATACGAATGGTAATAGCAAATATCTATCAGAAAGTCCAATTTTACTTTTTTATTGGAATTGTTGATTATTTAAATTTAAAAATTATAACATATTACTTTCAAAAGACTTCAACAAATCACTGTTTTAATGTTTTTTGGTTTTTGTTTTTTACAGTTGGAAGATTCTCTGTGGGCAGGATTAACAGATCAACATGTTCAACTCACCATGGGACTTACTGCAGAGAATCTTGCTGTAAAACATAAAATAAGCAGAGAAGAATGTGACAAATATGCCCTTCAGTCACAGCAGAGGTGGAAAGCTGGTCAGAAAAACTGAGTAAAATCATTATCTATACAAAAGATTTTCAACCTTTAAGATAATAACAACTGTACAATAATATTAGCTTAAAATTCATTCCTTGAAAAAATCACATTTTTTTCATTATTCCTTTTATTTTAAATAATAAGATATTTTATTGCAAAATTAACTAGGAAATTTCTCTTTTGAAATACGTTCATAGTATTTAAAAGGTTATAATATTCCCTGGCCCTATCTGGATATGTGAATTTTGTCCTAATGGGCCCTATTATAATAGAACATGAAGAGGCATATGGTACCCTCCTTCAGCAGTGATTGCTCACTGTAGCAGCTGAGACAGAGAGAATGTCCTTTCCCAGGAGTCATGTCACAATCACAAGGGGAAGAGGCAATATAAAGAACCACTGGGTATCTTTATGCTCCTTTCTTCCATTCCTAATGGGAATCATTACATCTGATTCAGAGACTTGATGAACCCAAGACCCTAGCTGTAGTGTTCTTATGAAACACACTGCTATTGATCCAGTCCAAAATGAACATGATAGCACCTGGCTTATCCATATAGCAGTTTGAAGGAATCTGTTAGTCTTCTGAAAAAGATTTTTTAAATTAAATTGTAAAAAGGAAGCAGAAACTCTTATTTAGGAGTGGTAAATAGTTGAAGTAGTGAAGGTAAAGTCTATCTTAACGTTTTGGAAGGATAAGTGAAATAGAGCTGAGGCCATCCAGTTCATGTGGGCTTCTTAGTTATACATTTCTAGTAGAGGGGTATTGGTCTAGAGATCAGGCATTATCAGTTATATTTCGAGTTTTGCCAAGTAAGTCTAGTTCTGGACAAGTTATCTGATGTCCGTCGAGTCATTTATTCACTTCACATATGTAAAACAGAGATAACTATATCTACCTTTTCTATATATCTCAGAGAGTTATTGTAAAACCAAATAAGGGCAGATAAGGGGAGTATTTTTCCAACTATAAAATGATATAAAAATTAAAGTAGTATTATTCCTGACTCACCCTGTCTGCAACTATTAATTACTATAGTCAGTGGAGGTTCAAAGTAGATTAGATGTCTTATATATAATTGTACATGTGATAGCTCATATAATTTCTTCAGGTTGTCTCTCATTGTTAAATTTCAGTTATAGGTTACTTGGTGCCATAGACAACTTGGTAACTTTTTAATTACTTCTTATTTCAGTCAAAGAAGTTAAATCCATGTAGTGCCATTAATACCTATAGATAACTGACAAATGCTGCTAACAGTTTAGCAGTATCTTGTTAAAAAATAAATGCAGTTTTAAAAAATAAAAATGATCATTTTAAAAAGATTCAAAATGCATTTGCATAGATGCAGGACAGTATGTCGAATCCTTCAATAGGGAAAACAAGTTGTATAAGTAGTAAAAGATTGTATTAAAGTACATTGTGAGCAAAGAGTAGGCCAGAAATTAAATTGAAGGACATGTTTGATTTCTTGTTTCTCTTCTTTTTTGGGGTTTTCATTCTTACAGTAGTCTTTCTGCTATTTCAGCTAATGATGCTGGCTTCTTTAATGAGGAAATGGTACCAATTGAGGTGAAAACAAAGAAAGGAAAACAGACAATGCAAGTGGATGAGCATGCCCGGCCCCAAACGACTCTGGAGCAGTTAAATAAACTTCCTCCAGTGTTCAAGAAAGAAGGCACTGTCACTGCCGGGAATGCATCGGTTAGTGTCACCACACACCCATGAACTTAAACTCTATTGATATGTCCCTTGTCATGAAGTCTCTTTTAAAAACTTTCATGCTAGTCTAGTCTTCCTGGTAGTGTTTGAATTCTGTTAATTTGTTTTTTCCCAGTCCAACACGAAAGTTCACTTTTCCTTGATATTCTTTCCTATTTTCACCTAGTGAAGTTGTGTTCTGTGCCTAAAACAATTGCTATAATCCACCAGAGTACCACCATGGTACTTGCTGTGTCCCAAGTTATGCTACTGCTTGCTATGTACAGCCTCATTCCTAATTCTAGTCTATTAGTAATACGGCACCATTAGTTTAAACCTTGACTAACTAGATTCTTTTACCAGTTAGTTAATCTACTGTTTTTGTTTTCAAGGGAGTATCTGATGGTGCTGGAGCTGTTATCATAGCTAGTGAAGATGCTGTTAAAAAACATAACTTCACACCACTGGCAAGAATTGTGGGCTACTTTGCATCTGGATGTGATCCCTCTATCATGGGTATTGGTAAGTCAATAGTGAAACAAATCAATTCTTTTGTATTTCTGGAGATAGGACTTCTTTGTCCCCCAGGAGTCCTGAAAAAATAGCCAAATCTAGGTCTCTCATGGAGAATGGGAGATTGGTTATCAGTCATTTAAGCAAATCATCTTTATGAAGAACTGTCCTAGACACAATAGGAAAACCAAGACTATGCAAACTCCCTGTGGGCAGCAATTGTATCTTTTTTTTTTCTTTTGTGGTACTGAAGATTGAACCTAGGGCCTTGTGCATGCAAGGCAAACACTCTACTAACTGAGCCATATCCCCAGCCCCAGCAATTTGTCTATTTGAGATACCTAAAATTAACACACAGAAAGTAAAAGAGGAGAATGACGTGGTTCTGACAGGATCAAATAAATATGAGATGGGAGAAATCATGGGATGGACTAGAGAAGGCTGCTCAGAGGAGATGGCACTACACCTCCCCCTGGGTGTTCTATACACTGTCACTAAAGGATCTCACTCAAGTCTTCCAACTCCCAACTCCAAACCGTGAGACTTTTGTGAATGAGAAAATTGAAGCTTAGGGAGATTTAAAGGTTCCAAATCAGTAAGTGATGAGGCCAGTATGTGAATCCGGGTATCTCTAATTAGAGTGCTCTTTTCATTGTGAATTAAACACATTATCTCAGGAAGTCAAAGTAGTTCTCCCCTGACTCAGTTGAGGCTTATCAGCAAAGTGTAGACTTATAAGCAGTTATCTAGATTGACAGTGTACTAGCTAAAGGAAATTTAGAATTCACTGCAAACATGTATAGTCTTGACTTAAAACTTTTACATTAGAAGTAAAAGAGCTTTTTGTTGCATAACTAACTAGGTACCACAGAAGCTGAGGATTTTAATAGTTCTTGTCATCTTTCTTTGGAGAAACAGAAAGTCAATTAGGTGCCTCACTTGCAAAAATTAGACTGGTACTCTGAGACTTTGATTTATTCCACCAATGATCTTCACCCCCAAGGAAAAGCCTACTCCAGGGTAGGGATTTCAGATTCTGATAGGACCAAAGATTTTCCTATGCACTTAGGACTTTTCAGATTTTCTTGGTTTTTAATATGGGTCCCAAGAAGGAAGGAAGTTAAGATATTGCTGAACTTCCATCCCTGAGACCTTAAGTATAGACCTGCAGTTCCTGCTCAGATAACACCACCTGTGCTGATTTGGGATTGAGCCAATATCCAACTGCATTTGCTACCATAACTTCCAGTAAAGATTTGTCTCTATGAATTCCTAGGAAAGAAAACTGGCATATTCATAGCTTGCAAGTTTTCACCACTTGTCTCAAATTTATGTCAGCAGTAATGACATAATTTTAGACATCAGCTAAAAATCAGATTGTTTTTTCTGTTATATCCTTAAAAGTTTATAGTATTCAGCTACCCATCATCAGCAAAGCATAGCTTTTGTCTTAGAAGTAGAAGATAGCTTGAAAAATGAAACATCTGTGTATTGGTATGGCACATATATTTCAGGATCTAGAGCAACAGTTCCCACCCCAGGTGATCATCAAAATCCACCAGCAACCCCATCCCCAAAGACTGTGTTCCAGTAAGTCTGGAATGGAGCCCAAGAGTATGAGATTTGGGGATTTTTTTGTTTTGTTTTGTTTGTTGTTGTTATTGTTTTTGAGTACCTACATGCATTGATGGTCCTCCAAATTTATTTTATTGTCTAAATAAGTAATTTATTTTACAGTTTTTCAGTCTAATCTCATTTACTAGGTTCTTAAAGATTAGAATTAGCAGGCTGGGGATGTAGCTCAGTTGGTAGAGTGCTTGTCTTGCATGCACAAGGCACTGGGTTCAATACCCAGCACCACCAAAAAAAAAAAGCATTAGCAAAGAAAGGTGTAAAGTACAGTGAATGCAAAAAGATTTTCTTTTTCCCTCAGAGCTTGAGCAGAGCAATACATGCCATGTCTCACAGTGTCAGATGCCTTCTTCACCTAGAAGCTCATCTGTCACTTATAGTGTGGGATTAAACAAGGTAACATAGACAAAGCACCTCAGTTGAATCAACAGGTTATTGAGCATCTAGTGAAGGCTAATTGGCTAATCTAGTTCCTCATTTGTGCAGGTACCTAACATGTAGTAATCCATAGCCATGCAAAACAGCTGCAGACCTAGAGGGAAAGGGGACTTGAAGAGAATAGTAATGGCTCTGAGGAAGTGCACAGTTATAGATACTGTTCCCTAGAACTCTTGAGATGGCAGTGATGGAGATCAATGGATAGAACTTTGAACCTTTTTAGACTGGAACAGCTCTAGCTTTATCTTTAGTAGGTTTTATTTGTAGAAAAAAATTTCAGTGCTTTAAAAGACAAAGGTTAACAACCCATGCAAAAAGCATATTTTAATTAAAGCTTGAAGCCCACAGTCACACAGCTGTGAGTGACAGGAGACAGGGTTAGAAATAAGGTCTCCTTGTAAGAAAGCCAAATTTTTCTGAGTCCCAGGAATAAATAGAATGGTCTGAGAAGAATATAATCCAGAGTGGTCTGGGAAGGGTCAGGTTGTGGCCCTACATATTGTTAGAAATGACTCTAATGGTTCTGAGTTAGCATGAACATATTGAGTGAGCTTACTGATGTTTTTGAAGACATGGAAGTGCGAACAATATCTTAGCACTGTCAGGTTTCAATCTGTGTATCTTTTACCCTTTCTCTTTAAAGTTAATGATCTCAGGTGTTTTGTTATAGTAATGTAGAGCTGACACAGTCTCCTGACCATGCCAGATAACGGATGCTATACTGTTTACTACCCATTCATTTTCATGTGTTGGATATACAAAGTGAATCTGGAATTTAGAGTCCATATTAAATCAGTAGCCACACAGAACTGCTGCTTTAAATTGAAAACATTAACTGGATGGTCCTACTCAATAAACAGACTTGTCCAAAGAGCATTTAAACTAGGCAACAAAGTAAGTTAGCATTATATTTAAATTGCATTGTGTTTTCTTATAAAGATTCATTTTCCATTTTACCTTACATATATTTAAAACTCATTACAAAAATTTGAGACTTGAATTCAATGAAGTATACCATATATTTTTTCTTGGTAGACATTTATGGCAGTTTTATACTCCAAGAATAAATAGAAAAACAGATAATCTTCTCTAGCCAGACTTTTTAACTTTTAGAAAAAAATATTGATTTACCTAAAAATTATGACTGATGTTAACTGGTGATCATCAGAAATCGGGAGCTAAATTGTGGTTTGTGTTTCAGAAATCTTGGGAGGATTTCTGTTTCTTAAGTAAGGGGTCATGTTTCCTTAACTTGTCTGCCTTCTGTTAGAGTTACAAATATTTCTTTAGTTCATATATCTTCTCTCCGTGAAGTGCCTGGAGCTTCCTGTCTGCTCTACCCCTGTGGAGATGCTGCTGCTATTTCTTCCCTTTTATCTATGTAGGACTGAAAATTCAGAATGTAACATGCTCACTTCCATAATATGACTACACATGGTTTACAACCCCAGGAGAGCATTCATTCTGCTTGCCCATTTCAGATCAAGCATGGTCTATAACTGACTGTGAATCCCATATATGTCTTCTTTGGCTATTTGGAATCCTAAAGTCGTTTCTGGTAGAACTTTTCATGTATGTCTGTCATCTGCAGTTTGACTACATAGTCAAACACCCTCTCATTTTTGGTTCCAACTTCTGCTTCTTTACTGTGATATCAATTAATATGTGCTGGCAAGGTAGCAAGATTTGTGATTGCTAAAAACTATCACATTATTTCTTCCTTGTTTTGTAAAGGAGAAGTTTATATATAAGTAAGATGATTTTATTTCTATATAACTTATTCTTATATAGGCCCTGTCCCTGCTATTAATGGAGCACTGAAGAAAACAGGACTGAGTCTTAAGGACATGGATTTGGTAGAGGTAAGGGTTTCTGTTTTTAAGACATGAATAAGCCACCTACTTTTATAACATAAATGGCTTTAATTTTATAGCTCTTTTGCTTTGATCCTAGTAATCTTTTCAGATGGGTTACATCTAAGCAAGCATTGCCTTTATTACATGACTTGTGCTGGTGCTTTACTTATATTTGAATAATTTGAACTGATTTCTCCTTCAAAGTATAAGTTCCTAGAAACTTCTTAGGACTTTATAGAACCCAATCACCTTTTATACTATCAATATGCCTGGTGATTGAAAATTGCAGAAGATGGGAGAGAATAATACCCTTAACCCTGTTTTAAATAATAAAGTCAAAATATATAAGCAAAAGAATTGACCTAATAGAAAAGCACTATCTAGTACTAAATCTAGCAGTTTCTTGCCCTTCTCCCCAAATTAAGGTTCCTCCCAAACTTATCTTTGGCTTTTATACTGTAGTTGTGTCTTGATCTGGGATGTGCCTATCAATTTTTGTCAATGGCAATTTAAATTTATTGGTAGAGTGATTTTCTGTATGTGTGGTGCTGGGGATTGACACATGGTAAACATGCTCTACCACTGAGCTGCACTCCCAGCCCCAAGCTTGACTTTTTTAATGTTAATATTAGAACAAAGATGTACTACGCTTTTAGCATAATTAAAAGAAGAAACAGAGAAGAAAGTTATGATGATACATTCTACATTTGGGGAGTATTTGAAAATTTTAGGTAATTGAGCTCATTCTGCTTGACATTGGGAAATATTTGGCATTGGGAAATATTGAAGTTGATAGAGAAGAGGTAGGCACATGTTTGATTTCCTGTGTAGCAGTATATCACCCAGGAAACCATGGTTTTTAGAAAAATAAATGGTTTAACCTTAACTCTGCTTCTGTTCTTAATAGATTATAGTACAAGAGTCTCAAGGGCTGCTTAATTATCATATTTGTATCAGCAAATATGTACCACTACATTTCTGACTTTAGACTTACTTCATGCTTTTAAAAAACATTAAAAGTTAGCAACTCTACAAAGTTTTTCATAATCATTTATAAATGTATAGATACTCAAGGACATAGTTCTCAGCAGTTTTCCCTGGCTTCAGAAGCCCACTTTCACAGTGTATTCTAGATCTTTTGGTATCTCCTTAAAGATGAATATATATATACACATACATAATATATACACATATGTATATATGTGTATATGTATATACATATACACACACACACATACATATATTAGAATGTTGATTCCAAGGCACCATTTTGGAGAACACAAAAATATAGTAGGAAAGAGAACAAGACTAAAATTTAACCCCAACTCTATAAAAGTTATCTTTCTCAAAATCAGTTTTCTTTCTAAAATTCCTACACTAAAGTCAGGAAAATACAGTATTGTAAATGAAACAAGGCGATTCTCATAGCCAGACTTGGTGAGTATGTAACCATGGGATTCCTTTCAGTTCTACCACATTTCAACATAATCACCATTCCCTTTGTCTGTCACTTTCTTTTTTGGAAGGATGGCCCTTAGTACTGGATAATAATAGCAGCAGCCATACCCTGAGTACTTGCTATGTGTCATGTAATCCACTAAATACCTACTGTTCATGATTTTATTTAACCTTGACCATAACTCTTAACATAATACTACAGTTGAATTTTGCTTTTGAGGAAATGTGAGTTTAAAGACACTATAAAGAACATGCACAAAGTCACACACTAATAAATGATGTAACCAAGACTTGAACCTTACATCTGGCTACAAAACATATGGGCTTTCTGCAGCATCTCACTGCTTCTAGTGTGTGTCCACTTCTAGGATTACCAAGAATTTCTTTCTTTTAAGGGAGGCATGGGATTTAAAGTATTGTTTAGCAAATATACCAATTTTTAAGCCTTATATCTTTTGTAAAGGAACATACTTCTAGATAACCTTGAACTTGTTTATTTTGACTGATATTAATGAATACTTTCTTCTCTATCTGTCTTAAAACCTAATATCTGTATACAGAATGAGAATAAATTCACTTAACATTGTGGGATAATTTAAATAGGAAGAAGTAACAGAATTAGCTTCAATATGAGTAAACGTTTGCTTAAAAATAAGTTTGTGAAAAAAAGATTTTATCATTGTTAACTTTTTTCTAAGGTGAATGAAGCCTTTGCTCCCCAGTATTTGGCTGTTGAGAAGAGTTTGAGTCTTGACCCAAGTAAGACTAATGTGAATGGAGGAGCCATTGCTTTGGGTCACCCATTGGGAGGATCTGGATCAAGAATAACTGCACACCTGGTTCATGAATTAAGGTACTTGCTAGAAATTGCTGCTTTTGGGATGACTATTTTTAATGGAAATGTATAAATTTAGGTTTCCTCATGACAATGCATATCCTGTGCACTGGCTCTGAGCAGGAATAAGCTGTTGGGGCAATACTTTGCAACTGGCCTTCCAAAGAAGTCGGGTGACTTGTTGGTGGCTCTGCATTTGGGAATCTGAGCTCTTCCTCATGTTAGTTTTGTGCACTGTGCAGCCACCCAGCGTGTTCACTGAGGGTGCAGTGCACATCTGGTCCTTCCCTGATGCTGGTGAGCAGATGATGAGGCCCTGGTCTTCATGGCATTTTAATTCCTGCTGCAGTAATAAAACAAAATTACTTAAGAAAATAAGCAATTATTGAGTAGGTACTGAGCTAGATACAATCCTTCAAGGAATCTTAAGGAAGCAGGCAGTTAGGGTCTGAGCTAAGTTTTCCCCTTCACTGTCCAAGGCTGCATGGAAAACTGTGGATTCATTTGTGGATTCAGTACTCTCGAGTTTTGATAGAAGAGCTCTTCCTCCTAGCCCTGTGCAGTTTGGGGCCATTTTGCACTGTTAGTAGGAAAATTGCATATGAAACCAAATATATGAGTCTGTTAG